GAGGTGCTGTATACATGACAGGAAAAATTATAAACATAAAATACATATCTTTATTATGCTAGACTGCTGTAGTATCAGTAGCACATGCATATTCCAAATATTCCATTCAAGCACTGAATTTGGATTTAAATTCCCTGCATCTGCAGAGCATCACAAAATTGTGGGTGTTTGGAGGGCCTTGCTGGTGTGTGCTAAAAGCAGTCAGAGGAGCTGGCTAATCTCACTCTCCCATGACTGCAGTTTTGGCTGCAGCATTCATGGTGAAATCTTCTAGAAAGGGCATACTTCTTTCCAAGCATTAACCTTTTCTAAGGCTTAAAAATTGCTAGGGGTGACCAAAAATCCCAACAATCACACCAGGAAGAAAAATTCACCATTACCAATGATGTATTATATTTCTTCACTCTTCATCCAGCTTTTTGTTGCTGGGAAATGTTTGGTCTCTGGTGACAGAGCTCCTATGCAGCCCTTGGGAGATTTTTTTCCTGCAGTCATTCCTCCTTCAGTTCCGAGATGCTCAAGCAGGCCCAGGGAATGGCTGATGCTCTCCTCCTCTGGGTGCTCTTCCAGCACTGCTCTTCCAAGTGGTGCCCACCATGAATGCTGTTACACCATGGAGGATAGCACAGTCACTGCACTGAGGGTGCTGCTCCATCTGCACCCATGGGGGCTGGGCTCTTTCCTGGCTGGACTCAGAATTGAGGACAAAGCAGCACAAAGGCTGGGTTCTGTTTCAGTAATGATTAACTGGAGTATCCCTGCCAATACTAAGCTAAGTTTTAACTGAATTCAGGTAATAATAATAACAACAACATTCTTATCTCTGGTTAGGGATGTTTTGCAACTGTCTGCCATGGGTTTATAGCCCAGCAGGTGCCTCATGTGACAGCCCAAGCACTTTCTACTTTTGCTACTGTTAAGACTTACTACAACCCACTCGCTGATGAGACCAGAAGAGGAGGGGATATATAAATAATTTCCCATTAATTTTTAATTTACTGCAGGAAGATTTATCATGCCAAGTCTAGGTAAAAGTAACCTTTTCTGAGCTAATTGAACATGATGTTGATGGAAAGA